ATGTTGATGAAACACCCCCCTGACAATCACTTTGGCGCATTACGTAATTTTCCGCCACCGTCACGAAGCTTATAAGGATTCCATACTTATTTTACATTTTTAGGTTGGAGTGTTTATTACGTTATTGCATTTTTAATGTGTATATGATTAAATAATCCTCTGTTTGTTGAAATAAATTAAGGTTTGGAAATTATGGAGCAAAACATGAACTGAATATTGCAAATTGAAAACAAACTGAGCTATAAATACTGACGTCCTGACGCCTGATATCGAGTTTACACAATCTGTGCTTTTCGATTTGGCTTTATCGAGTTGGTTTTCTGAGTTTTACATTTAATTTCATGATTTTGAGAACTGTTATTATCATCGTTTGTTAACCATAATCTGTTAGAACGTCTGTGGATAATCATCATCGTTTTACGGAGGAGAAGATTGCCGAAGCTTTGAAATATGGAGCTACGAAACTTTGACTGAATGATTCTCGAATCCAACATTTATTCATGGATAAAACAGTGAAGGGTATTCCGATTCAGTTAAAAGAAACTGCTTTCCAACGGAGCCCTCCCTCTCCACATGATACAAACAAAAACAGTAAACATAAAAACAAAACATGAATGAAAACATCAATACATTTCAATATTTAAAAAAACATTTATACATTTGATTAAACGATATACATTGAGCGCACGTGGGATGCACGGTGAGACCCCCTAGTTTTCAGATTGTCGTGTTTCTTTTAAAGCATGTTAGAGAACCGATACATTAATTGTTTCTAAAATTGGGACGGACAATGGCAATTTCCGGTGAATGAAAAGGATCATTATTTTTTGTATTCTGTTTTAAGAAATGGTACTTGTTGAAGGTTTGGGTGCATGGTAATTTCCTCTCTGGTTAATGTTCCTCTTTCCACTGGGGATATCAGATTTTCGAAATCTTACCTATTTTTGAGGTAGCGAACTTTTGAGAAAGGTCACACGCGAACTATATTCACACGTCCATACCTGTAACCAGTGGCGTACGGGGGTGTTCAGAAATTGGATGGCATCATTAATGTGACCCCGCGAGGTAGTGAAGCAACCGAACAGGAAAGGGTGTCGGAGGGGGTTATTCCATTCAACGTCGTGAATATCGATATCCTTGCTTAAAAAACTGTGCTTTTCCTGCATTACAAGTTTTTCAAGTTTCTTTTTTTCTCTCCATATTTTATAGTAAATTAGAGACAGACATATGAAATAGAAATCATATGGTAATGGTATATATTCACATTACAAAAAACTCAATTCACGTGTCCGATTAAGTAAAATGTGAGGAACCTATTGAAAAGCATTGCTTGTAGATAGGTCCCTGATAAAATAGGCATTGTAGATTATAGGCGTACATGTAGGAATCTTTCTTGAAGTTGGAGGGGGGGGGGGGCATTGAAGCTCTCATCCTGAAAATCTAAGTCCCTTTATGCTGGGAACCAGGGCCTTGGAAGCTCTGGGATTCTAGATTCTCTCTGGTGCAATATCAGCCTTATTTTAGTGCATTTTATGACATCTTTTCAGCACAATTTACAAGCATATCAGTATGGATTAAAAAACTCAAGATGGAAATTGTAGACATAATGGGCAGTAACGCCATGAGAGATAAGGTTTTGTTCTTCGAGATTTAACAGTTGCCTCTTACCGTGGACAAGTGCCTTGCGGAGCGACTTCCAAAGTAGGGGGTGGGGGACACCTACAAAAAGGGTACTTTCCGGAAAAAAGGGGCACCCACAAAGGGAAACCTCAAAGCACAAATATACAATTTATAGACAATGGTAGGCCATATTGTGCCCCTACATTGTGATTAGATTATCAGGGATGATTTCATCGATTGTTGCTCTCTTTAAATTGCCCCAAATACTGCTTAATCATTATACTTTGCAGTTGGGTGTGATGGTCTGAACATTTATTCGTGAGCGAGCGAGCAAAAATGTTAAGATTTGTGAAGTCGAAATGCGAAACTTGAATTACGTCTTACATTTATAAAGATGAAAAACAAATCCTAATCATGAAAGACTTAAAGGATCTTTATATGAGAAACAAAATCATAATAAGAAAAAATGTTCTTAGTCACTTTAAACTAGGAGTATATGGTAATAAGGGGTTTTCTGCCATACAAGTTTGGGGATCGATATCCCCCCCCCCCCGGTTCCTACGCAAGTGTTATAGATGGAAAAACTGTGGGGCAGTAGATAAAAAACGTAATTTAGAAGGGGAATTTAAAACAAAAAGGGGAATTTAAAACAAAAAGGAATGAGGAAATTTGTATACAAATATAGAGTCACCTGGTTATTTGTCACCCGAGCAAAATTAATTAGCACGGCACCGCTGAACAAAACATCAAGTGTATGGATATAGTTATTTATTCGAGAATATGATACACGAAAGCTCACGCTGCATAAGATTACTTGGAGAAAACACAAAGATAAATGTTACACAATTTCCCAAATGTGAAATTAAGAGTTCAGCGGGAATTCCGGAAACTTCTTTTCTCTCTCTCTCTTTTTTAAACATTTTATATATATTAAAAAGATATTAAAAAAATGGGGGGGGGGGGGGGGGGTGGACAGAAACGTTTAGGGGTGATTACCCCCCCCCCAAAAAAAAAAAAAACACCTCTGCATATGCGCATGACGTTAGCAAACATTTACGGGCATTTCCAATCTACCAAATCGGAGTGGATCGTTATATTATTTACATAATGGAATGATTCCCCACACTTTGAACATGCCGAAGAGCTTTTTGATTTCGTTCCACTGGCTTACTATACTTGATCCCCATATCAATACATGAAAATCCGATTTAATTAAATTAAAAAAATATAATACCATTAAGATGAATGATGTAGAATATAACGTCTATTATTATTATCGTTATTATTATCATTATCGTTACTTTTTTTTATCGTTTTTTTTTTGTCGTTGTCATTATTGTCATTATTATTAAACTTATTATTATTCGCAATTTAGGTTTATTCCGCCTTTTAATTGGAATATGAATTATGCTCTACGAACGTCAAAATTAACATGTCCAAGATAAATTTTAAGATATAATTTACATATTCTTCTTCATCCATCCGTCTCTTTCGTCCGCAGATCTCTGTTCATTCTTATTTTCACCACTTCCCACTTAAAGGTAATACAAAGTTTTGGGAAATTTGAAAATTGGGTGGAAAGTGATTTTTTACAATTTTGATATATTTGGATGCCCCTGTGGATGTATTATAAGCACAAGAAAAATTAGCCCCTAAAACAGTTCCCCTTTCGAGAAAAATGAAATATAAAATTTTACCGGTGCTCCCGGTAAATGTTGATAAATTTCAATTTGCGCCTATGGCCGTACAATGGTAGCTGTGACCATGAAAATCTCAGAATATGTAGTTGTGATATATAATTTCCAAACGGGAATAGCTAATTGGTCGATTTTAGTCGAGAAACATTGTTTTATAGCTTAATTAATATCTTGACCTTGAGAGGGACCTATATAACATAAAGAGTTTATTATTTACAATTTCATAACTTTAGACTCGATTTCAACCGCAACAATGATCCCAGAATATTGTAGGATCGCTTTTGCTTCTAACATGTTCATTTGAACCTAAATTCATGACCCCATCCCAAAACTTTGTATTACCTTTAATATATTGCCGCATAATAGACTATAAGTGAATGAAATTACCAAGGCCACACTTACAATACTGTTCAGAGACTAGGTTTTTACCGTTATAATTTTAACATGAATAATGCTCTACAAAATATACTCGTTTCATTTAGAAGACTTCTTTCTAAGTGCGAAAGGTTTATCATTTTAAATCCAAGAGATTTTTGAACCGGGCACAAACCTTTAAGATTTAATAAAGAATATCAAGAGGCTTAACATTTTAATTAAAATTCAAGTCTAACGGATAGTCCAAACAGCACGAGAAAAGAGGAACTAACTAGAAGCAGAGCTTGTTGAAGTGTTAGTTCCTTAGATGCTGTTTTACAATATAACATGAACAAAGTATGCTTTGAAAATCAATAAATAGAAACAATATGTAGCTAAGAAATTATAGATTTTTTTTTGGATTTTTTTTTTGGGGGGGGGGGGGGGGAGGGGGGAGGGGATTAAAAGAGAGGAAAAATGGAGGAAAATAGTAGAAAGCAAAAATAAAGAAAGATACAAAAAAGGGAAAATGAATGATTGCAAACATTTTAAGTCTGAAGAAGAATTTGGAATTTAAGTTCTAGAAATTAAGAGAATATGCGATATGACAGACTAATGTCTGTCGTCCACAGATCTTCGTTCTTATTTCCCCCTCCTAACCCCTGAAGTATTCCGACCCCCCCCCCCCCTGTTCAGATCATCACATGATGTTCCCAAACAAGATTTCCCTTTTCCCCGTCCTTCGGGAAAAATAAAGAGTAATAATCTTGGTGGTCCAAATTCCTTATAGGCCTACTCAGGCTAGCTCAAAGCTCAATACGCTCCAAAGAAAATATGAAAGTTTGCCATGTATTACAAAAACATATAAATCAAATTTGGCTGTGGCTCATCATTTCAACGATTACGAGCCACGAACGAAAGAGAATTGTATAGTAAGGACATATTTATATTTCATTTCATTCATTTCATTCACCGTCACGAAGCTAGTATTCTCATTATAAGGATTCCATATTAGTTCGTGTGGACGGAAATTTGAGGATTGCGCGATCAGTGGAGAGACCGCGCTGTGTGTGGGATAAAAAGAACGAACGTACTGAATCTGGACTATATGGCATGGAGGTAGAGCTACAGAGCTGTGCTTTGAAATCCCCCCGGAGCGCCTGGGAAGTGCCTGGCATGGTCTGGTAGCTAATGTTCTCCAGTGCGACACATCATAGCCTGCGACGGTGTCATGACACTTCTGTCATTGTCAAGCGAGCTGCAGCTGTTGTTACAGTATAGCGGAAAATCAATACCGAACATCAACGTTTATAATGCATCATTTCGTTTGAAATTATAGAGGGAAGAAGAAGAATGTGAAGGAGATTGAGGAGGGAATAACAAAACAAAAAACATGTGAGCAGCGCTATCATTTACGCAGAGAGAAGCGTTTCTCGATCCACCTCTTTGTTTATACCTCATCCATAATAGCTTGAGTTGGAAGATGAGCAACGTCGTCGCAATTTGCATTTGCTTGAAATCACATCATCTTTAAGTCCTACTACTATGGGGACGTGATCAGGATAAACGATAATCCAACATTGCCATGCTTATAACGTTGATGAGAAAGCAGTTCATGAAGAACATTGGCGGATCCTAGGGCTTAATTATACAGCAACTGTAAGGCAGGTATTTACCACTCGTACAATAGAAGCATTAGTATACTACTATATACTGCATGTGTATTGATTCTCATTTTTTTTTCAAACACCTCTGTACAAAACACAACAGAATTCACTCAAAATCGGCACTTAAATAAAAAATGATGACACCTATATAGAGCAGTAAATTTCAATTAATTCAACTCACCGATGTTGGAAAAATATAAATTGAAAGTTTAAATCGGAAATCTAGATTGTCAATCCTGGCGGAGATCAAGCCGCTTCCATGCATTCATTGCATAATTTCCTAGACCAGATGCATTATAGGAATAGGTATTTACACGTTACATGAATTTACAGTTCGTAAAAAGCATATTTACATGCATTGATTTTGTTATACTCTGGAAACAAAGCCCTTTCAAGGGGCACTGCCCCGGCCCCCCCCACTCAGTGTTATTTAGGCATTTGTACGCATATGCGTGTTCCAACCGACCCCCCCCCCCCCTTTTCAGCAAAAGTCCGGTGTATAAAGTCAATACGGCTAGACCTTTTTCTTTTGTATACGAGCCTTTTTCAGCAACCCCCCCTTTTCAGCAAAAGTCCGGTGTGTAAAGTCAATACGGGTCGACCTTTTTCTTTTGTTACGAAAAGGACATTATGGCCACACGCATGGGGTCCGTCCGCACTGCCCTCCGTACCCTAGTCAGAGCGTTGCCCTTGACCCGGACCCCCGTCCGTGTACGCTACGCTCGTTATGCTCTCTCTGCTAACAACAACAGGAAATCCATACGACTCTCATATATGGCATCTTTTCCAGAGGTTACAAGGCGCTATCCCTTTAGTCTAAGGACAAATTAAGAATTATGGAGGTATATTTTCAGATGATTTCTGGAAGAATTCGGGTAAAAACATCAGCAAGCCTTTCTGGCAAAACCATGTAGTCTATTGATAACACGTCCAACACCATCGTTGCGGTTACCTGAAACTTGTAAAGAGCATTGTGATATAGTGATAAGGGTTATTTACTCTCACATGATAGGTTCTGTGTTCGATCCTTACTCGGTGGTAACATCTTAAGACAAGGTTATCTGCCCACATTAAAGATAAACTCCAGTACTGGTAAAAAAAAAAAAAAAATTCTCACAGAATCAAACGAAACTTACACTGAATGTTCAAGATTACAAATAAATGACATGTGCCAAACAATAATTGGAAGAAAATGTATACTGGCTGAGTAATAAGCATAGAAATACAAGGAAATCAAGGTAGTACTAGCCCCGACACCATGTGTGTTGTCCCATATATAGCTTTCTATGTGAGTGCTTGTTACTTTACCAAGATTCGGTCAAATTTATTATGATTTTGATGACTCCAGAACCTTGCAGTGCTCACCAATACTTACATGATCAACTGTTTCTGATCCTTTCCACACCTTTTTTTCACAATGCAATCGCATTACCAGTACTAAAGTTTATCTTTAACCCTATTAAATGGGCCTCGTTTAATAAACAGTCGTGATTGATATCAATCGCAAGTCGCAACTATGCACATAACAGATATAAGATTGCTAACTTGCGATTGATAAGAGGACTTGCGATTGATTTGGATCAATCCCAACTCTCTATAAGACGGGGCCAAGGTGTAATAAATGAGTACCTGGCATTGGGCTTGCAATGTACGGGTAATACAGAGGCCGCTGGAAGAGCAGATTAAAACTAATGTTGCTACCCTATGTGCGAGTAAGACCTAATTTATTATTCATTTAATATTTGAGAATATGAATGCTCCGTTATTGGTGATCATAATTATACCACTTTTTGTTTAGAATGTTCTAATTAATACGTATATTTACAATTAGTTGGTAATGTAAATCGTCATTTCAAAACAAAGTGTACCTTAACTTAACTTTTTTTTTGGTTTTAAATCGATCCTGACCGAATTAAAAAATTGAAAAACATCCAAAAGCTAAAGCCCCAGTCCCATATAAAGCCGGACCAGCACGGACGAGCACGGACCACTCCGGACCATCCCGGACCATGGTCTGGGGTGATCCGGGATGGTCCGGGATGTTTTGTTCAAAAAAGTGTGATGCTTTTAAAGCTACAGTCCCATATACGTCCCGGACCGTCCCGGACCATCCCGGACCCCATCCGGGGTGATCCGGGATTCGGTCCGTGTTGGCACCGGGGTGGTCCTGGATGGTCCTGAATGGTCCTGGATGGTCCTGGATGGTCCTGGGCTGTCAATAACTCACTCCCGGACTGCCACGGATCAACACGGACCGCCCCGGCGCCACTACGGATGACCCCGGACCCAGCACGGTGGCTACACGGATCACCCCGGATCAAACTATTGTCCCGGACCGTCCCGGACCACCCCGGCAGTTTTTGACCGTCAAAAACATCCGGGGTCGACTCCCGGACCGCCCAGGACCATCCAGGACCATCCAGGACCATCCAGGACCATCCAGGACCACCCCGGTGCCAACACGGTGTCAACACGGACCGAATCCCGGATCACCCCGGATGGGGTCCGGGATGGTCCGGGAAGGTCCGGGACGTATATGGGACTGTAGCTTTACTGGCAAGTAGGGCAACATGAGATGACAAATTATATTATTATGCGCTCCTTGTAGGTGACAGTCGACCGGAAAACAATGATTAACTCTCTCTATCTCTCTCTCTCTCTCTCCACTAAAAACCTAGAACTAGCGATTGGCAGACTTTTGAAAAAAGTAGGGTCACCACCGACTAGTTAAAGGTAAAGACCAGTTATGGTCATGCGATTGCATTGTGAAAGAAATGCAGTGGAATCGATCAGAAAATGTTGATCATCTAGCATCTAGCATCTGCAAGGTTCTGGAATCATCAAAATGATAAGAAATTTGGCCCATTCTTCGTAAAGTTACAAGCACTATACACAGAAAGATGTATATGGGACTACCATATATCTCTCACAGACCATGAGAGAAACAAATTTACCATATATGTAACACCCATAAAGTGTGACTATACTGGCCATCATTCCCTCAGCATTGATTCATTTAACTACAGTTGCCTCTCTCTCCCTCTCATCTCTCTCCGATTCCTTTCCCCTCTCTCTACTGTGTGGGGATATACACCTGTTATGCACATAACCCTATAGGCTTCTCTATCCTCCACTCTCTCTTCTCTGACCACCTCTCTCCTTGGAATGTTATCTTTAAGCTACAGTCCCATATACGTCCCGGACCGTCCCGGACCATCCCGGACTCCATCCGGGGTGATCCGGGATTCGGTCCGTGTTGACACCGTGTTGGCACCGGGGTGGTCCTGGATGGTCCTGGATGGTCCTGGATGGTCCTGGATGGTCCTGGGCGGTCCGGCAGTCGACCCCGGATGTTTTTGACGGTCAAAAACTGCCGGGGTGGTCCGGGACGGTCCGGGACAATAGTTTGATCCGGGGTGATCCGTGTAGCCACCGTGCTGGGTCCGGGGTCATCCGTAGTGGCGCCGGGGCGGTCCGTGTTGATCCGTGGCAGTCCGGGAGTGAGTTATTGACCGCCCAGGACCATCCAGGACCATCCAGGACCACCCCGGTGCCAACACGGTGTCAACACGGACCGAATCCCGGATCACCCCGGATGGGGTCCGGGATGGTCCGGGACGGTCCGGGACGTATATGGGACTGTAGCTTTTAAAGCATCACACTTTTTTGAACAAAACATCCCGGACCATCCCGGATCACCCCAGACCATGGTCCGGGATGGTCCGGAGTGGTCCGTGCTCGTCCGTGCTGGTCCGGCTTTATATGGGACTGGGGCTTTAGTCCGCTTATCTGGACATTGCAAACATGTGGTCATTCTCTTTTGCTTCTGAACATTGTGAGGGGAAGACGTATACTGGTGCTGGCTCCCTTTTATAGGTAAGAGAATGATATTCTCACTACTAATTCTCACATTCTCATTCTTGATCTAGAGTGATGTATATATATGTATTTGTTTATTGCTAGATAAATGTATTTCACTTCTTAAAACCTTGTTCACGCGATGAATATCATTTAAGTTTCCATTCTCTGTCAGATGTTTTGTCATTGCAGGGAACTTGTGATTCACTACATAGTCTTAGCATATTCTCTGAAGACCTGTTTATTACCTTGTTTATAGTCTCATGAGTGAGAGTTATGTCGGTCAATGCATAGGCATATAGTACATCTCCTGTGGAGTATATTTGTATTATACGTAAATAACTGTTTGTTAAGAGCAGCCTTGTTAATACAGTATTAGATATAATTATCCTGATTTGGAAAAGCTAGGCATAAAGGGTCTGAATGACCTAGACTAGATGCCAGTTGGTCAGTAGGACACAGAAGGAAAAGTCTGTGTAGAGAAAGGATCTGATTGTTTTAGTACACGTACATGTACTATACTACATGCTTCTGCTTGAGAGGATTTTTATATTCGTTATACATTGCTTTCTCTTATATCTTTGACTATGTTTATTAACTATGTTTCGCCTTATTATGCGATTGCCTTTGAACAATTAATGCATTGTTTGCCACTCTTGTGAAACACTGAATTGGAAAGAGATTATTTTATGTTTTGTTATATTATTATGTCTCTTTTTACATATTGTTATTATCCAAACTAATATGTGGATTCTGGCGTTGATCTGGTCAAATCGGTAGTCAGCCTGCTACTGAGGGCGTCAACGTCAATAAAGGGTATATCTCTGTCCAGTTCAGTTGTTATGTGGTTTTGTTATATATTAATGTATGCCCAGTATACTTGCTTTGTTTTATTAACCTCCCTTTTATAGCCCTTCACTGCGGAGAAACGAATCTTCGGCTTTCTTGAAAAGATCACGCAACTCCATCCCATCAACCCTGTCCATTGGATAACAGCCTCCATATTTAAATCGACTTACATGAACGCTACCCTGAATGAATTATTGTTCTCCAACAATACGCGTTTGATAGCAACGTTCCATATTCGTTGATGAGCGGACAATCTTTTTTTTCTTTATAAACGACCGGTCTTATTAATATAAA